GGGTCGTCATCAGAGGAGGCATCCTGGTGCTCGTCCACATCCTTTGCTTGCAACATTTAGCAGCGTTTAACGGCTTTTTGCGTTGTGGAAACTGTCAGAATCAAAACTCTAAATGGAAGAAAAAGCAATTGTCTGTTTGTAGGTGTGTATTTCTTAGGCGCAGGATCTCTTTAAAGAGATCTCTCTTTAAAGTATTTCACAAATACTTGTATTTCTTAAAGATCTCTCTTTAAAGAGGACATTTTGTGAAATACTTTGTTTTTAGCAGGCCTTTTGGAGTGTACAGGCAAAATCAGTGTAATATTTTCTGTGCTGATATGCTGCTGTTTCAGTATCTCTCGTTTCAAGACTTGAATGTCTCTTCTGCTTAAACTAGAGCAAGAAGAAAATAAAATTAACATTGAATGCCATTTCTTTTAAACATGTTCTGTGTGAGTGAGGTTTGCATGCCTTGCTCAGTGTCGTGGTTTAACCTGGCCGGCAACTAAACACCACGCAGCTGCTCGCTTACTCTCTCCTGTCCCTGGGGAATAGGGGAGAGAATCAAAGGGGAAAAGAGAGGGAGACTCGTGGGTTAAGAACAATGTAATAATTGAAATAAAAATAATTTGAAAATAATTCAAAAAATTATAGTCATATATACAAGAGACGCACAGTGCAGTTGCTGACCACCCACTGACCAACACCTGTCCTGTCCCTGGCTAGAGATCCTGAGGAAGAGAGATCCTGAAACCGCAGTCCCAGAAGAGAGAGAGACAGAGCTTCCTGTCCAGCCCTCATCCATATACTGAGCATGACGTTGCATGATATGGAATATTCCATTGACCAGTTTGGCCCTCAATCCTAAACCTAAGCTCAAATCCTAAGCTGGGAGTTGTGGGTCCTTTGCTTCGGCTGCGCTCCCTCCCAGCCTGTTGTGCATCTGCATGCCGTCAAAACATGGAAAGTTTAAAAAGTCCTTGATGTCTTAGCAACAACTATAAACATCAGTATGTTATCAACATCTTCTCATGCCAAATCCCGTACTAAATCCAAAGTACAGAGCTATGCTAGATACTAAAAGAAAACTAACTGTCTCAGACAAAACCAGGACACTCAGTCTGTAAATTAAGCCTTCAAGATAGGACTGTTGGTCTAGGAGTAGGTATGCGTTTATTCTTTCATTCAGGAACTTTCATTGGTGAGGACACAAACTTAAAGAAATTCCTTGCATGTTAATGTGAAAATAATTTATGTTTACAGTCTTAATTTTTGACTTTTAAAGATTTCATTATTTTCTAGTAATAGGAAATACTGTTTATTGGAATAGTCACTTACTTTTTCTGCTTGTTTTAAGGATGCCCAGATCATTAATTGGCTGCATGAATTTCGAGCCTCTGTTGCATATTTGACCAAAGAGCTTGAACAACTGGTCAGCATTTTGCTGGTAAGTATCTGTTTATTATGTGGGAAGATAAAGAGTTTAGTGCTCAAAATGTCTTTCTTTGACATCTGGGTCTTTGCTTCCTTTCAGAAGCTTCCATGGTTGAGAAGAAGCCGAGAGGTAGTGGAAGAATATCTGGGTTTTCTTGGCAACCTAGTGTCAGCCCAAACTGTCCATCTTAGGCCGTGCCTCCGGATGATTGTGTCACAGTTTGTGCCCCGTAAGTTACTTTTCTCTTCATCTTCTTTGTTTGCTTATCAAAATGTCTTTCCTAGATAAATTCTTTATAAATATAATGCATGACACAATTAGTTATTGGGTTAGATTTTTTTTCCTGTTGATTACTTTCTTAACTTGAACAGCTGAATTGTGATACAGACAGTTGTCTGTACGTAGATTTTAGAAGACGTATTCTAGTGGCTAATACAGACCCCATTTATGCAGATGTCTTGCAAAGGGATGAATTCGGTACTGTTCTTATTACTAAAAAACAAAAGCTGCAGTGAGGATCATGTCAGATGTTCTCAAGAACTTATGGTTCTGTGAATGAAACAGTGTTTTGATGAGCTTCTGCTTATTTTAGAAAATCTTCTGGATAATTTTGATGCTTTAGTCCTGATGAAGACTGTTGTCTAGTGTTTTTAATTTGGCATTGAAACTGTTACCTATAAGATTTATACAATTTTGATATAATATCTTACCTTTTGCTAGCTCGAATAACCATCAGAGAGGATGATGTGGATATTTCAGATTCTGATGATGATGATGAAAGTGAGTATAAAGGAAGCATGGCTTGTATATGCTGCTGTAACACCTTTACTGAAGAAGCATACAGTACATGTTGCTCCTTTTTTACAAAATTAATTTAGCTGAGGTAATGTAAAACATTAAGAAACAGTACATCCTTGAATTTCAAAGTCAAAGACTTGTACTCACATCAGTGATGTGGTGACCCGCTCCTTGTTTCTTTCAAAATATTCCTGGGGATGCAGTATCTGTAGGAATAAGATTGAATCCGTAGGAAAACATTCCTAGTCCTGGATTGTTTCAAAGCCAAAGAAAAGTTAGTTGTTTGTTTTCCATTTTATTTACCTCAGTAAAACTAGGTAGTTTGGGGGATTCTTGAGTCTTTTTTTGCTTGCTTGTGGTAACAAAAATCCCACATAATTAGTGTGTTTATTGATAAGACAAACAGCTAAATTTCTTTCAAGAATTTATTGTTTTCTTATCTCGAATGCTGGAATAAATTTCAGATCTGCTTGTGATGACCCAACTACTCTTCTACTGTTCATTTGTGACAATGTTTTTTTTGGATAAAAAAAAGTCTGCTATAGAAGCTTAATTAGCTGTTTGTTTGACTCTTGTGAAAATGAGGCATTATCATTCAATAGATTTTATCTAGTTACAGAGTTTGATTTAACATATATTCTAAATATTTGTGTATTGCGTGATAAATTTTGAATTTCCAAGTTTAGCATTCGGTGTGAGAGCATATAACAGCAATACCTGGCCTTAGGGCTGGCAGCACATTCAGAGTTTATTAATTGTGATGCCATTAATTTTATCTGGAATTCTTTTTCATGATTATTTTGGTACTAAGGCAGTTAAACAAAACAAAACAAGCCCCCCCCCCAAAACCCAAAACATTCTGGCATATAGGATTTCCTTGGGAATCTTTAAAATGTTTAGTTGATACGAACTGTTCTTGCTGGTTCCTGGTTAAGTTTTCTGTAACCAAACGTGTAAGAGTACCTTTTTCTTTCTCTAGACCTTTCTGAAAACTTTGATACATGTCATAGAGCATTGCAAACTGTTGCAAGATACGTTCCTTCGTAAGTATTTAATCTTGTGGATTTATATGCCCTTTCCTTGCAGATTTAAAGTTTATGAACTGATGAGGTTTTTTTTTCCTCTCTTAATTGGAAGTATAATACTTACGAAAAATCATGCAATGAAACTTAATATTCACTAACTGGTGGAATGTTGTATCCAGTCATTATGAGATTTTCATATGCATCAGCAGCTGAAAATCCTGCTAAGGGAAATAGGAAGTAGGGGAAATCATATTTATAGCACCGTATTTGAAGTGGCTTCTAACAAGTTCACAGTGAAAGTTTGCCACTTGTTACCTGTTCGGTGATCCTTGCAAAAACAGATTTTATACGATTACTTACCTTGAAATAAAGTTACTGTGAAATAAGCTTATTCCAGTCTGGAACTCTTATTTAGAGTGCTGGAGTTTCAATGTTTGCTCTCATGGTAATAACCTATAACTCTTGGGTTTCTTTTTTTTGTTTTTTTTTTTCCTTTTTTCGAAATTGTAGGACACCACAATTTCTCATGCCGATACTTGTGGAAAACTTTCCTTTCATTAATAAATCAGAAAGAACTCTGGTAAGGGCTCTGAATATTTTTGTTTATTTGTTCACTAGTTTTTTAATATAAAAATATACTTTGTAGTATGACAACTGATTTGGTGGTTTTCAGTGCAGATTTTTGAGTGTATTGTTTAAGATCTTTGTTTTTTTTTTTTTATATATATATATATGTATATGGGTGTGTCTGTTTAGTGTAAGGTTGTCCAAGCATACTGAAGTTCCTTGTGCATAAGCATTATGCTCGTCTTTAATGACATAACTGCATATCTTTTCCACAGGATTGCTCTCTTAATCAATGCACAGATGGACCTCTTTGGCGATGAATCTCAGGGTTGTAGAGTAAGGAGACGGTAGGATACCTGTCTCATTTGTTGTCAAAACTGGAAAATATTTATCAGAAGAACAGGGGATTTAATCAGCAGACAGAAAGCAATGGACATTATAGGTGAAATCCAAGTTGTTGGTAGTGTAGGGTGTTAAGTTGGTTTTTTATATCTTTGGTATAGTGCTCATGCGGGGTGAAAAACAAGCTGGAATCTTTTGACAGGGTACAGCTTTGTGTGATCCTTATATTTACTTGTTCCAATTTGATATGTCGGCACTTTGTTTTACAGAAAGGCAGAGCCCTGCTCCACCAGCCAGGTTCGTTTGGGGCTGTGTTTCGAACTTAGCAAGTGCTGAAAAAACCCCAGAGTTCTTTGTATACCTCGCTAATTTTATTAGTAGTATTTTTTTAAGCCAAATAACACTGTGCATCAGTTCCCTATGTGTAAAATGAGGGGGATAATAGCTCTTACATGCTGTTAGGAGAAGAATTTTTATTTATTTATTTAGCAGCTCAATGAGGAGCAAGTTGTTGAAGAAATTCCTAACTGTTTTCAGGGCAAGGTTCGAATGAAGTGCAATAAAAATATGGTCCATGCATTGTTATTAAATACTTCCAATTTATACATTCTCATTAAACTAGCTCTATCCATTTGATGTACTGAGCGAGCCCGATGGCCTGTGGAAAAATCATATGTGCTCATGTAATTAAAGGTTGTGTTATAATGCATATTCACAAAGAGACTATGGTGTACTTAAAGGTGGCACTTCACCTGATTTTATCTATTGATTCGACAGTTTTTCTGTATGAAAATTGCAACATTATCTTTTGTATATATGTGTGTGTACATGGGTGGGCACATACACACTCACAGAACTTGTCTGTTAACCTGTTCGAATTACAGTCAGAACAGCTCTGAGGAGACTTACCTGTGGAATTTAGAATTGTTGGTATATTGTAATAGCTTGAAATAAAGATGTGTTCAGTCTCACTTCTACTAGAGCTAGTTCTAGATGTAGTGAGAAATGAGCTGCTTGTTTTAATTTTCCTAGAGAAAGTTTAGGCATAAACTACGGAAATTAATAACTTTTATAGAATATTTATACTCATTCTGTCTAGAGATTGAGAAATTTGCATGGAAATAGTAGATTAAGAAGTTAATAATAACAGAGCTAAACAATTGAAATTTGATGTTTGGTTTATACATTAACTTTTTCTAGATTGAATACAGTCTGTTTAAACCTATTTCTGGCTCTCGTTTTCTAAAAATCTTTGGCAGAAATTAGCCTTTCTGTTGACATTATTATAGATGTCAATTAATTTTGTGTTACAGGAATGTTATGTTCATAACCTGCTACGAGTTACGATGTACCTTCCAACTCTGAGGCTTCAAATTCTGGAGCTTATTGTTGAAAAGCTGTTAAAGTTGGATGTAAGTTTGTTCTGTATCATCTTTTAAGGAAGCTTCGTGTTAAAATACAGAGTAGGAAATTAAATATACTTCAGTGTTAAGTTCAACAAAAAGTATGTTGCAGTAGTGCTCATGATCATGAGTATGAAACCAACTAAATTTACATTCCATTCCCAGTCTTAAGATGTTTCCACACCTGAGGGTAACTGTATGATTTGTACTGTTACACCCTGCATGGAATCTCTATGTCAGAGTCAAAATAACTGTTTCATGGTGATCAGTGCTAACATGCAGAGAATGTGCTTCTCTTTGTGTGGTTGGTCTGTTTTATCATCACTTGGAAGTAAAAGCATTTACAGTCTTAGACAGGAGGGGTGACATTGTAAATGATTCAGGCTTTTTATTTTGGAGAACCTCAGCATGTAACAGTCTGGGGAAAGCTTATATTCTGGAGGTAAAGTTTCAGGCAGTTTGGAGTGTATGTTTATGTGTTACATACATATCATTCCCTTTTAAAACACTTAGTTAGTCAAGGACAAAATCTAGTCTCAAAATTAATCATGTTGTCATTTCTTATATAAATAATAAAAATAAGTTTCATATTATTATCATGGTCTGATAAAAATTATTCTCTTGTTTGCGACTGTAGGTTAGTACTCCACAGCAAGATATTGAAGATGCTGAAGAAACTGCTAATAACTCTGACAGTGAGGAAAAATCTACAGAGGAGGGACTTTTTGACATGGTTTGCTATCTTGTTCCACTAAGAGGGTTTTTAGTAAAGTTTTTTTCACTTTTGAGGGGACTGTGAACTAAGACAGTGTAGAAATACATTATTGCTTTGTTGTTACCATGCTGTATGCAGCTCTTGAAACCCGAACAGCTGACAAAGGATTATTGTCTTCTCCGGGTGTTGACTTCATTAATTTAAATACTCAGCTAGCATGCAGTGAATCAGTTTCAATATGTAAATACACAAGCAGCTATACGTAGAGCTAATTAAAGAATTCATGGTAGTTGCCTTAGTTTACAAAAATTTGCTTATGCTAAGCTCTGTATTTAGATACTGCTTTTTTTAAAAAAAAGACAAAACTGAAAGAGAAGTTTAGTTTCGCTTTTCCTGAAATTGCTGCCTTTATGATGTTGTGTATATAAAAGCTGCATGACTGCCGTTTTATCTACCAGGAGGAAGATGAAGAAAGAAAAGGAAACAAAGTTGTCTCTTCCAGCAGTGAGAGAATGGCCCATCCGCTTGCAGAGCGCCTGGATATTTTGATGACCATCCTGTTTTCCTATATTAAAGACGTTTGCCACGTGGATGGTGAGAACACTTGAACTATAACCAAATTTGTTGTTTTGTTAGCATGAAGAAAAACGTCAGAGGAGTTCTAGCTTTCTGCTGCTCGTGCTGTAGCGGCAGAGTTCTGCCATCAGCAGGCTGTAGTCCGTGTTCCTGCCTCTGCCCAGAGTTTTTGGCAGAGGATGCCAAGGTACACTTAGGACTTCAAAGGTTTAGTCTTCAGTGGGAGACGTTCTGATTATGTAAATATGAGACTGTATCCAAACTGTGGTGTTACAGGGTATAAGGGTAAACAGAGTTTTTTCATTGTGCTACAAAACTTAGGGGATTAGAAGTACTTTCTGATTAACCACAGTGTTATATCATTTGCTCTGCTGTTTTGCTTTGAGTATTAGACTTATGGATGCTTTCAATGTCACGGGGACTGGAAGTAGGTTAAAACAGCCAGCCACGTCACTCAATTGGAATTGCTAAAGCAAAGCTTTGTGTTAGTAGGAAAAAACCTGAAATAAATGTCCTTACATTGGCATTTATTAAGGGTTTGAATTTCTTAGATTTTTAGATTTAGAACAGAATATTTAGAAACCATTTCACACAAGTCAGATAATGTATTTCGCAATATTTTCTTCTGGCTCTTCTGAATTAGCAAATTACTTCAAAGTTTGCATGTCTGCTGGTTTTATATGTGTGTGTGGACACACAGAGGTATTCTTCATACACAGCACAGTAAAAAGCAGTAGAACTGAAGTCCTGGGAGGTCTTGTAAGTATTTTTTAGACGTCAGATAAGCCTAGAAGTCAGCCTGACACTGTTTCTTTACACGTTTCTTACTGATTTAGAAAGATATAAATACCACTTTTGCAGCATAAGGGCAGGAAAAAAAAACCTGAAATGGCTCATTTGGTTCTGTTTTTCTGTTGTGTAGGCAAGCTTGATATCAGCAACACGAAGGATTTGTATCGGGATCTCGTTTCTGTTTTCGACAAGCTCATTTTACCAACTCATGCTTCATGTCATGTACAATATTTCATGTTTTACATCTGTAGCTTTAAATTGGTGAGTAGAAGCCGTTTTTAAAATGCAGTGTCTTCTGTCACTTCTGCATCCTTGTTTTGGCTTTTTTTACAAAAAAATAGTTGTTTCCTGCTGTAATTCTAGTCTGAAGATAGTACGTCAGGATTCATTAGTATCTTTGCTTTCTTCTCCTTCTCTGTTATTCCTTTTTTCAAGTTTTTGTTTATGTGGTTGTTCTTCCCATGTCGTTCATAAACTGCAAACAGATGGAATCTAAGCTAGTGTGAAGGAACTTGGTTAACGGAATCAGTTGGACTTTTGAACCCAGGACACAGTGCTCTGGAAGTTTCTTCAGCATCCCCAATCTATCTTAAAGATACTGTCTGTGTTAGCTCTTCAGTTTGGAAATCGTGGCTGCTGTTTGTTCCCCTCCTCATTTTCCCATCTCTCTCAACAAACTCTGGTTCTTTCTCTTACCATATAAAAATAAGAACATGCATACTTTTTGCATAAAAGTAGCTAAAGATCCAGTTAAGCTAACGCCCTGACAGTGGTGAATAGTGGACGTGTTGGAAAGAATATCAGAATGGGACAAATATGTTGTGATGCTTTGCTAGAATACCCTCAGCCTCCAGCAGCAGTCCGGTAACTTCCTGTGCCAAAGTGATGTTCTTTTGTGGTAACAGCCCATGATGGACAAATTCAAGGAAAAAATATCTCATGATGGTTTTTTTTTGTACTGATGTGAATTTTTGACATAATGAACTTCTGTGGCAAAAGGTTCCACAATGTCACCATTTAAGGTGAAGAATCACTTTCGTTTCTCTAAATTGGTCTTCCTGCTATTTTCATTGGATGTCCCTGACTACTTCTGCTACAAGAGATGGTGAACGATCACTTCGTGTTTACCTTCTTACCGCTCTTGCAAAAACAAAACACTTCTCGTGTATCTGTCTGTTCCTCGACTTTTTCCTAGACTTCTGGTTCCATTTACTTTTTACAGCTAAGTCGAGAAAAAGACACAGAAAAGTGCTGTTCCACCATGCGTAGGAATAGTTATTTACTACGGTTGCACGTAGACTTTTAGTGGTTTGGTTATGGAAATTATGGGAATTGAGTATTAGGAATCTATTACTTAGTGTCATCAGCATAACAACTCATGATTTCTGTGTGTCTTGTTTTCAGGGCTTGGCTGAGGCATTTTTAGACCATCTTTGGAAAAAACTGCATGATCCAAACAATCCTTCAGTGATCAGGCAGACTGCTGGGAGTTATATTGGCAGCTTCTTGGCAAGAGCTAAATTTATTCCAGTTGTGTAAGTTGTTTTGATATATGAGCAGAACCGAATAATTTATGATGATGGCTGAGCTTAAGTACAGAATTCACAGTATGTACACGCAGTGTTGGTCTTCTGTTCCCACTGCTTTGCCAGTAAGCCTAAATCAATAGTCTTGTTTGTCCTTTCTACAATACTGTTTCAGTATTGTCTTGAGGTTTCCAGGAAAGTTTTGCATTTGCAGGATGCAGACTAATGGTTGCTGGGATTCATGACTTGCTGTTTAAGGCTTCACTTACCAAGAAGTGCTGAGCATGGGTAGGTTATGTTGGCTTCAGGCAAAGTTATGGTTGCCCAGTATATCTGATGTTCAGAAGCAGATATTTTTAATGCCCCATGTTAGGCATTTTATGTAGACTGTGAGACAGAGAAGTCAAGTGTTCCAGTGTTTTGATACAGATGGATTAAAATACCTCAGCAGATGGGTGAAAATGTCTTCTTTTGTATGTGTACATTGTGTATTTTTATGCTGTTCAGAGTGGGCTTGGTGACTTTAATATTGAACGTAATTTGATACTGGAATTACTTGTTGGACATGGGAGGTATCTCTCTCCATACTACCTGTAGCCCAGGATTCTAATTGTTTACTGTGTGTTTCACATGCAGCATACGTTCATGGATTCATCTCTTCTGGCATCTTGTGCTTTTACTGATTGGGGTTTTCAGTGATGATACATTGATTCCTTTTATGCAGAGATAAAGGAGAAAGCTCATAACAGAATCTCCTTTTTTTACAATGAGATTTTCTTACTGATGTTTTTATAACCACCGAGATCCTTGAATACTTGTTTAACATCGTTTCTACACCATTTCACGTGCTATTTTTACACCTTTTTTTTCCCCCTCCATTACAGTACAGTAAAAGCATGCCTGGATCTCCTGGTGAACTGGTTGCACAAGTACATTGATAATCAGGATACAGGGGCTAACGCTTACTGTGATGTAGCTCTCCACGGGCCATTTTATTCTACGTGTCAGGCAGTGTTCTACACACTTATTTTCCGTCATAAGCAACTTTTGGATGGAAACTTAAGGAAAGGTGAGTATATTAGGTTTGAACAATATTGAGATTCATTTTTAAGTTTTACTGTTGATGTGTTTTGTAATGGCAAATTCAGTCAAGTATTTGACAGCAAGTTTATGTTGTTGTGCTCTGAATAAAATGAGATTGCTTGTACACCTGTTGGGCTACCAAGCTAAATAATCTTTTTTTTTCCCCACACTATTGAAAACAATGTCAATAACTCTTCAGCATTGATACTTGCTCCCACTTACTGAACATGTTTGAATTACAGCTATATAAAACTAATTGGGGCTTCAATTAATAATCTGTCTTGATGACTCTGTGCCTCTGTCAGTCCCTGTAGTGGGTTTGTAAGTGTACCATCTGTTTTTGAAGGATCCCTCGACTGTGGCAGGTTACTGCTATTTAGAGTAGCTTTTCTGCTCAACAAGCTGTGGGCTAGGTCTGTACTGTAAGAGAACGCCCTAGGATGTGCTTCTGCAGTGTTGTGCAGAGTGCAGGCTGGTCAGACTGGAAATTCTTAGAAATTACGTTCAGCTTATATGATATAAAACCTATATTTATAACTTTTTCTTATTTTCAAGGTCTGTCATATCTGCAGAGTTTAAATTTTGAGCGTATTGTCATGTGTCAGCTAAACCCCCTGAAGATTTGTATACCCTCTGTGGTGAACTTGTTTGCTGCCATTACCAGGTACCTACTCGTTTGTTTCAGTTTCAGCTTGATCCAGATATTTGTGTGTGTCTGTCTGTCTGAAAACAGCACTGTGCTCAGAACGTGAGTTTTGTTGCACATGGTATTCTGTACTGTCTAAGACAACTCACACTGCCCATGTTCTAGGTGGGTGTTGGGGTTTAGCCTGGCTGGCAACTAAACGCCAAACAGCTGCTTGCTCACCCTCTCCACCCCCCTGGGAATCGGGAAGAGAATTAAAGGGGAAAAGGGAAGGAAACTCGTGGGTTGAGATAAGAACAGTGTAATAATGATAATATGTGAAAATAATGTATATATCTATAATGGTAATAATATACAAAAAAGTGATGCACGGTGTAATTACTCACTACATGGTGACCGATGCCTGATCTGTCCCGGACTAACGATCCTGAAACGGGTAAGTCCCGACATCAAAATTCCAGATGAGTGAGAGGGCTGAAAAGAGAACAAGAGAGAGAGAGAACACTCCGAGAGTGAGAGCCCCTGGAAGAGCAAAAACCCTTCTTTCCAGTCAACCCTCATCTCTATACTGGCCATGATGTTGCATTATATGGAATATTCCATTGGCCAGTTCAGCCGCAATCCTACGTCTAAGTTCAAATCATAAGGGGAGTTGTGGACCCAATGTCCTGGCCGTCTCCCCCCCAGCCTCTTGCACTCCTGCACACTGGCAAGAACACGGCAAGCTGAGAAGTCCTTGATGTCCCAGTGCCAACTATAAACATCAGTGTGCTGTCAACATTCTTCTCATAATGAATCCCAGACTAAAACCAAAACACAGAGCTCTTCTAGGTGCTTAAAAGAGAAACTAACTCTGTCCTGGTCAAAACCAGGACAGTGGAGTAAGTTTATTTCTGGTCCAGTTTCAGTGAAATCCTACAGGACTACGATTGCTTTGTGTTGGAGCCGTATGATTCTACTTGGAGTGAAGTTTATAGGAGTGTAGAGGAAGAGAATAAACTCCTTAACTTGTATCTATCTTGGAAATTCCTAATAATCAGTTGGAAAAGGGAAGATAGAAGTGATGTTTGTTAAAAAATAACTTTGTATTTTAATACCGTCTGAAACTCGTGCTTTTGGTGTGCTGGAAATGCTAATCTTTTCTTCATTACCTTTTTAAAGGAAATACCAGTTGGTGTTTTGCTACACAATTATTGAGAGGAACAATAGGCAGTTTATTCCAGTTGTTCGGAGCGGCGCTGGGGGTGACCTTGTGCAGACGTGCACTAACCCACTTGACAGTTTCTTCCCCTTTGATCCCTACATGCTCAAAAGGTAGAGTTTAGAAATAAACAACTCATTTCTGCCTTGTAGAAAATAAGGAATTAAACCCATAAGAAACTGTCAGTGTTTCTACAGTTCACTTTATTCCCTGATGTTTAGTAACTTCTGTGTTGCACGTGTCAAAGGTTTGAATTGAACTTTACCCCCACTGTGACATACAGCGACGAAGAAGGAACAGGACCCAGTCTCGTGGAAGGTCCAGTTAATATGTTTGGTGACATTTCTCTTGGTTTTCTTTGGTTTAAGAAGTCTCTAAAATGCTGTAATGTTAGCCTAATACATACTTGCTCGGAGCTGTGGTGATGGTGTGTCATTTTTTTGTTGGTTTGGGTTTTTTACACCTTGAGTTTATTGCTTCTTGATTGGAGACTTCAGTTTATTTGAAATATCTTGAACAGTAGATTACTTGCAGCTTTTCAAAATATCTAGCACTATGATGCTTTAATTGCTCTCATTAATGTTAGAGGGCAACATTTCGGCTTTTTTTTTCTTCTTAAAAAAAAAAATCCATCTCCACAGAAGGGAGACGTTTCTTAGAAACAGAAATTATTAATAATTATATTAATATAGTATTAAATTACGTAAGATTATATAAGTGTATGTAATTATGGAAAGTTTATAATAGTAATACATATAATAAAAATATTAATCTTCAAAAAATTGAAGAAAATTATGCTTATTTGCAAGCATAGTGTAGCTGTTAAAATATGCAGCTAGGAATTAGGAAACCTGACTTTACCAGAACTCCTCAAGCAAACAATTGTAATTTATACCTATCAGTAAAATGGAGTTATTTCTTCATGGGATTAACTGGGGATTATGTAGGGATTAATTGAATAGTTTGTAAAACCCTACAGAGGGCTATCAAAATGCCAGGCATTTTATATTATATTATTAAAATGAAATACATGTGACTTTTACTGAATAATTAACTCATACTGTGTTTTAATTCTTCTTTCAGATCAAAGAAGACTATTGATCCTTTTTATCAGTTTTGGGAAGAGCTGAGTGCTGAAGATCTTGAGAATCTCAAGAAACCCATTAAAAAGGTAATCTTTTCTGATCAAAATACAGTTCAGCTTTTGCCAAATGCCTATAAGCTGCTTTTATTGCAGGATTAAATTTTTTTTAAGTAGATATGAGTACACTAAATGTTTATGAGAAACTGTGATTGAAATTACGAAGCGTTAGGGACTGAGATCCATCCTTGCTTTGAGAACACTTCTCCCCTCTTCTGCAGAGAAGGTAATTTGGCAGCACAGGACCGCTGTGAACGCTCAGGAACGTTCTCGCAGTATGATGTCACTGGGAAATCCACTTTGTAGATATGATTTAGTTCCCATATTTCATAATGAGAGTACATCTAATTCTCTTCCATTCCAACTAATCGTGACAATTGTAGTATAACCCCAAAGGGAATTCTGTCCTTCTGAAGCTCCCACGTAGTCTGTTTACCTTCTTGCAGAACAACTGTCCTGTGTCACATTTTTGAGTCCTTCGAATGGTGTGTTTTTCTTTCCTTCCTGTGGTAACGCATAAGAACACTTGATGGTGTTGTAGCTTTGTTAACTGGCAACTTTATAAACTCTTCTATAGCATTGTTATTAGCAAATTTGATTATTGAATTTATTTTGATTTATAGAATTTATTTTAGAAGTACTTTTTTTGGTCTGAGCATTCATTACTTCTGTCAAATTTAGAGTATCTTTCTGCTCTAATTGATCCTTTTACATTTATGCAGGGTACTTCTGAAGATGAAGATGATGACTTTCTGAAAGGAGAAACCCCTCAAAATGATGGTGTCGTTGGAATTGCTCCAAATTCTTACGAGTCGAATACGCGGAGCCCAGTGAGCAGCCTGGGCTCCCCTCCAGACGGTTACGCGCCGTACCTTCAATGACATGGGGAATCAGAAGTGAAAAGGTTGAAAACCATGTGCAATTTTTTGCTCTGTAAAGAGACTTCAGCTCAACTTTCCAAACTGGCAAATGTTTAAGTAACTACATTTAAGAAAAAGTTATTGTTTCTTAATCATGAGATTTCTACAGATACGTTACGATAAAGCCGGATGTTGCTAGAAAAGCTTAGAGAATAAATAGGGTGGTATTTTACAAATTTCACATTGAAATGGTTTTTATGACTTACAAGGGTTTTTTTATAGTTTTTCCTGACTCTTAAAAACTTCGTTTACTAATGTTTCTCTACAAGATTTTATGTATCAGGAGTGAAATTCTGGTCTTTCT